CCCTAAACTCTTAGCCCTACCGTATTTGCTAAGTCCCTTGCTGGAGGCCTTGAAGACCGGCGGGCAGAAGCAAGCCGTGACATGGTCGGAGCCTCAGTGTTAAGGGGCTTAGGGGTCTTCGGCTTGCGGAGGGTTTAGGCGTTCTTGGGGGTTTAGGAGTTTAGGGTTTGGGGGTTTAGGCGTTCTTAGGGGCTTAGGAGTTTAGGGTTTGGGGGTTTAGGCGTTTAGGGTTGAGGGTTTAGGCGTTTTAGGGTTTAGAGTTTAGGCGTTTAGGGTTGAGGGTTTAGGCGTTTTAGGGTTGAGGGTTTAGGGTGGTGAGGGTTTTGCCAACCCTGGAGAGCCCAACACCCTCAATTGAGGACTTAGCTTGCATCCAAAGGGGCTGCATACTATGGCGAAACGCGTGTATTCCACAAGGACTAGGTTCCTCAGTAGTAATTACCCTTTTGAACTTTTGATTGTATGAAAAATGAATATGCACGAAAAGGGTAGAATTATTATTAAGGGGTTACTCAGGAATCTGGATTAAGTTTTACTTGCTTCTCTGGGTTTACGCTTGGACAGACTAGTGTTAAGGATTTAGGGCTTTAGGGGTTTGGGGTTTAGGATTGAATGTAAGCCCCGGATCAACAGACTGATAAGCCCGCTTTGTTCAAGGGCTTGAGTATATGTATCCCAACTATACTAAACCCTAAACTCTAAACCCCTAAACCCTAAACCCTAAAAAAGGGTAGCTCTCGAAACTCGGGCCCCTTCTTGTAGTTCCTAAAAAGGACCCCAGAAGGAGACCCTGAGTTTGGAGCACTAGCCATATGTCTTATCGAAGGCACCGACAGCAGAGGTAGGGGAATGAGGGTTTAGGGGGTTGAGGGGTTTAGGGTTTAGGGGTTTGAGGGGTTTAGGGTTTAGGGTTTTAGGGTTTCGGGTTTAGTGCTTTGGTGTTGGTCATTTTCCTTGTTGGTCTATTTGTGTGTGAAGGCTCCTCATGTCATGTTGCGCTTCTAAGGCTTGCATCAGTGTGCCTCTACTTATAACTCGAGCAGTTTGTCGAAACCCTCACACAACTTCCCAAAGCCTGCTAGGACCCTAAACCCTAAACCCTAAACCTAAACCCTAAACCCTAAACCCTAAACCCTAAACTTCTTAGAACTTCGCAGCCGACAGAGAAGGAGCCTTCAGTCAGTTCCAAGCAATCCCAGCCCACCCGTCCACCCTTCGGGCTCCGGGTTTAGGGTGTAGGGTTTAGGGTTTAGGGTTTAGGGTTTAGGTTTAGGGTTTAGGGTTTAGGGTTTAGGGACTGGGACGTTAAGCCCTGAACCCGAAACCCTAAACCCTGCATCCTAACCGTAAACCCTAACCCCAATCCCTAAACCTGAACCCTAAATCCTAATCCCTAATCCCTAATCCCTAATCCCTAAACCTTAACCCTCAACCCTGAACCCTAAGCCCGTCAACCCTACAGGACTCTTTGAAGGAAGCCTTAAAGGAACTTTCGCCAGGTCCTGGGCTGCTCCCTAGACCTCAAACTCCCCCCAAAACCCCTAAACCCTAAAGCCCCTAAACCCCCCCAAACCCCCCCAAACCCCCCAAAACCCCACAAAATTCCAAAACCCCTCAAACCCCCCTAAAACCCTAAACCCTTCAAGCCCCTACATCCTAAAACCCCCGAAACCCCTAAACCCTTCAACGCAGGTCCTGAGCTGCCGAAGCTCTGCCTCTCAACAGAACTCCCGCGGCTCTTGCCCCTGTCGGTGCAGCGCGGCACCGCCGGGAGAGCTGGAGCTATCGGGACCAAAGAGGTTTGGGTTTAGGGCTCCAGGGGTTTTGGGGTTAGGGGTTTAGGGTTTAGGGTTTAGGGCTTCAGGGGTTCAGGGTTTAGGGTTAGGGGTTTAGGGTTTCGGGTTTAGGGTTTAGGGTTTTAGGGTTTTAGGGTTTGGAGAAATAGCGTTTGGGGTTTTGGGTTGTTTCTCGGTTCCGTTACGCACTTCTTAGATTCTGCAAAGACCCTGATTTGGTGAGCTAGTTTGATGTTGGGATCTTTGGATCACGAGTCCCCTGAACCCATTAATTAAGGTTTACGGTTCAGGGTCAAACCGTAAACCGTAGAAACTTGGGTTCCAGTAATGTTTAGGGTCAACGGATTTAGAGAGTAGGGGGCTGGCCAGAAACCCTAAACCCTAAACCCTAAACCCTAAACCCTAAACCCTAAACCCTAAACCCTAAACTGGCTGGCCAGAAGTAAATCAGAACGGCGAGTCGGATGCAGTGCTCAGGGGCAGCCAAGCTTTCTAAGACCCAGAATTTGGCTCCAAGGGGCAAGTGAGAATGCCATGTTTACTAGGGTTCTACGCCCCAAGCTGTATTCCAGAGGCCGAATGTCATGTCACTTTAGGTACAGGCCCTCATACTTCAGAGGGTCGGTGGACGTAGTAAGTAGAGTTCTAAGGACCCTGACGGGGTGCTACTTGGCATTATGATACTTAGAACTTATTAAACTCTGCAAGATAACTTCTTACTAGGGTATTAGGTTCCCCCCCTAAAGCCTTGGCACGTCAACCCCAATTTCTAAATCCCAAGCCCCCGCTAGACTTCACGCCCGAAGCCGTCAACCCGTTACTAAGACCCTGCACCCCAAAACCCTAAACCAAAGACCCTAAACCCTGAACTCTACAACCTCATGGCCTTCCTCCTTCACGGGTGTGAAATGAGCTCTTTGGGTTCCCTCGCCTCAGTTCTCCCGCGCTTTGCACAGAACCCGCCTTGGCGGAGGGGACCGAAGACAAATTTCCTCAATACTATAGTACCATAGATCCCTTACTTGGGATTTACAGGGTTTGGGTGTACGGCTTAGGGTTTAGGATCCCGGTTGTAACCCTGATTATGGGAAAGGGGTGTATGAATCAGGGGTCTACAATGCTCAGAGGCGCTAGATAGCCCATTTTGGGGTTTGGGTTTTACTAGACCTGCTCAGAGGCTGCACAAGTGATGAGATGCACAGGCTCCTGTGTTAGGATTACCAACATGACAACCCCGATTGGGGTGCTAGGCCTAGCAGGCGCAAAATTTATCGAGTTGCCCAGCCCCTTGAAAAGCAGAATTCTAAAAGCTCGATTTAGAGGTTTAAGGTTTAGGGTCTAGGGGTTTAGGACAGCTGTGGGCTAATCTGACACCAATCACATCGTACAGGTTTGTTCTTTCGGCGTTTAGGGGCCGTTTGCGATTGGGCTTTTATTTAGGGATTTACCCTAAACCCTAAACCCTAAACCCTAAACCCTAAACCGTAGGTTTTTGGGTAAAGGAAGCCCTCCGAGGTCGAAAAAACTCGAAGTCCAAACCCTCAGCCCTAAACCCTAAACCCTAGGGTTTAGGGGTTTAGGGGTTTAGGGTTTAGGGTTTAGGGGTTTAGGGTTTAGGGTTTAGGTTTAGGGTTCCCTAAACCCTGAACCCTAAAAAAAAAAACCCTATACTTTCGGACGCGGCGCCTCCGAAGGCATTTTCGGCCTCAACTACCGCAGAGTTCTGCACAGTTCCATCTTTTAGGAATTCCATGTTCTTGGATCCTGAATTCGGGGTCCTTGTATTCTGGAGGAACAAGCCGGCTCCTCATGTTTGGAAACTACAAATGCCAGCTGTTTAGTGCTCGGGGCCGAGGGTTTGTGGTTTAGAGTAGAGGGTTTAGGGATTACATGGAGTGTCCGTCGTTTGATTACATGGGAATATTGCTGTTTCTGTGTAGGTTCGGGGCGCAGGGCTCTTTGGGCTCAGGGTATCATAGGCAGGGTTTAGGGCCCAAGCTTCATGATATTATGGAGTTTATAGGGCGTTTGGGCTTAGGGGTTACGTGGCTTACCTGTAGCACTTAAGTCCTGCAGAGCAGAGGTTATGATCCCCTAATCATAGGTCAGAAGCTATAGCTGAACTCAGAAGCACGTAGATTTTCGGGCTCCTTAGTCTGATCTTCTGATTCTGTCCTACATAGCCCCTCGAAGAATCGAGTTGACAATCCTCTGAGCCCTACCCAGAACCGCAACCACAACATATGAGCCTCAACCATAACAATCTAGTAACCATGAAAATAGAAATAATGGTAATATTACCGATGCTAGTACCGTAATATTATTTAGTTGGGATTGGGGCCATCTCGTACTGTAGAAGCCTAAATAATTGCCAGTATTATTCCTTAGGTTCCTTGTTATAACTATACTACAAAGGAGCCCCCAAAACCCTATTCTAATTATTAAGGCCCCTACAGTACTCTAACCAACGGCTTCGCTTCTTTCTCAGCCTGGTAGCCGAGCCCCATTACGCTGAACCTGCCTTCCCAAGCCTACTTGCCCAAGTCATCGAGGCTGCAAGCCCTAATGTAGGCGCCTCAATGATTAGAATAGGGTTTGGGGGTATATAATATGATTTATATTTAAAATCAGCAGCCCCCAAACCCCTATTCTAAATACAAGGCCCCTACATTAAGCACCTGTGGGTGGGCCTTCGGGCTTGGAGGTTTGAGGGTTTACGGACACTGAAGGGTGTTCGGGCCGGTTCCGGCTAGGGTGCAACACCCAGCATAAGAGCACGCCCTGCATTGCTATAGTGCCTCAGCAAAGACGATCACGTGGTATATTGCAGTTTACTGTGCTATACTATGTTATATCGTGCAGACTACGACTCCCCAGATCTCTAACTACACCTAAACCCCATAAGTCACCGCATCTTTGAGACAGCATATGGCTACTGGCACGAAACACCGAACTTCGGAGTTCTGTAGCATCTGCACGACCCGACATATTCATTAATTCATCAGTCACCGAAGTCGATTACAAGACACCTTCATCACACGACTGTCCACTCGACCTTCGCGCTATGAACCGACTAGCTTTATGTCCCCCAAACCCTAAAAACTCTTAAACCCTAAACCCTTAAACCCTAACACCCCACTTCAGAAAAACACAACACAAGCCTCGGAAGATCCATTATGCTCAGTTTACCCCCCCTTCATGGAGGTTCTCTCCGACGAGGAGAGGGGCCCTTTGTAAGTCCTAAAATTTGTTGGGTATAGGGGTTAGGTGTTTAGGGTTTAGGGATTCGGGGGTTAGGGTTCCGGGTTCGTTGGAATCTTATGTGAGCGAACCTACGCTTACACTTGTAAGGGTGCCTTATTGAGCTTATTTGCTTATATACCAGGCCTCAGAAAAGGGTGAACTGTTGTGCTAAGGGCACGCCCGAAAAGTTGGATGTTGATTCATATTGGGACCTGAAGAATTTCTAAATATCTTTCCTCAGGATTCCAGCAAAAAAGTTCCCCAAAACCCCCTTCTAATTTGTTGCGGTCCTTGTATCAGGTTTCTTTGGGTCGTGAGGGTGCACAGATCACTCCGTTTCACCTTGCGTCGGGCAGACGTCCAATCAACTCCAATATTATGCTAATTATGCATGCCCTCTGCTGGGTGTCAGAAGTAGGTTTTGTTGTTGTTTTTTCCAAGTTTCGTCGAGCTTGTCATAGTCTAGGCTTCTGCAAACCATAATTGATTAAGTTTAGTCCCTGCAGCCCTAAACTCTAGAAGCCTGCACCCTGAATTTTAAACCCCTAAACCCTGACCCCTAAACCCCTGTTCCGAACTACTGCAGGACGGAAAAAGGTGCTAAAAAAAAACAACCCTAAGCCCTAAACCCTAAACCCCTTAACCCTAAACCCAGAGTCACAAAGCCTTAAGCCCTGACAGCAGGAGATACATTTCCCAAGAGCACGCAGTCGATCCCCATCAACCAGCCGACCGGGCATTCTGCTGAAACGAGTTCCGGGGAAAGGATGACTTCAGGGGCCTAACATATAGGGGATTTAATAATTAGAATGGGGTTTGGGGTTATGTTATACTATAACTACATTAAGGACCTCCCCCCCCAAAAAAAACACCTTTTCTAGTATTAGGGCCCCTACATTAAGCCTACACCCGAATGCATGGACCTTGATCGGATCCTAATCCAGAATCTCGAGGGACCCAGTCAAGACAAGGTTCAGGTTTGGAAGCTGAAGACTAGCCCTAAACCATGACTGGTGGGTTTGGTTTTCCTGAAAGAGCCTTGACGAAAAACACCAGCAGCTTGGACGTCTTATCTTGGGTCACTTCAGAACTTAGTGGAGTAAGGGCCTGAATCCTCTCTACATATCTAAAGCACATGCCACCCTGTACTATACCCCTCGCACTAACACATACACATGCACAGACAGACAAACAGACAGAGACACAGACAAAGGCAGCAGCTGCGTAGCTATCAAAACCCACAAAACACCAAGCCATTCAGGTTTAGGGGTTTAGGGTTTAGGGTTTAGGGTGTTTATCAGGTTCGGAGTCATTGGCATTTGGATGTCGAGAGTTTCCGATCAAGAAACTATGCCAGGCTCACGATTTAGGGCGTAGGGAGCCCAGATTTATGTCCTTGTGGAGGCATTGCAGATGGAAGATGCCTTATCGAAGCTAGTAGCATCCCTAAACCCCAAACCCTAAATCCTAAACCGTGAAAAAAAACTAAACCAAACCCTGAACCCTAAACCCTACACCAAACCCTGAAGCCTTTTTTTGGCCCAAAAAGCAAAAAGTCTCTATTCCTCACGGGGATCAGCGCCCCACAACTCTCTCCCTGGATGCTCACCTTAAGGACGAAAAGAACCCTAAAATACCATATAGGGGTTATAGCAGAATTGTATAGGGCCCCTACTTTGAAGGGTCATTTGGTCCTTAAGGCACGATGACTAGCCAGCTGTCGCATCGCGCGAAAGCGCGGGGTTAATGATTTGTCCGCCTTACTGGGCGAGCGGCGTGGCCTCAGCTTGACAAAAGCAGTCGCAGTCGAAGAGCTGTTGTGTTGAGCCCAGCAATTCCCAGAAGCCCCTAAACTTTAATGCCCAATCCACAGAATGATTTTGTTCTCGTTGGCCTCTGTGGGTTCGGCACCGCACTAACCCCTCAACTTTCATTCCTACTTGGCAATCCTACACACTTGTACAGTGGAGACATCTTCGATTACATGTCGATTCTCTGCAGCCTTGGTAGCTAGCCTCAAATTCGTTCTTGTTGTTCAGGGCTTGGGTTTACTGCGCAGAACCCCTTTGAGCTTGGAAAATTCAAGCTTTTTGGTCCTCCCCGAGTTGGGTGTATAGGGCCTCCAGGCATAGGGGACCTTCTTTTTGTTTTGTAGAGCTTTCGGTAATATTCATCCCTAAACCCTAAACCCTAAACCCTAAACCCTAATATTCATTCAGTTTAGCGGAAGCTTAAAGTTTGCTTCTGAACCAGGCAACAGAGTCTGTCAGGGTTTAGGGTTCGCGGTTCAGGGTATTATATTATATATATATATATTATATATATATATATTATATATATATATATTATATTATATATATATATATATATTTATTGGAAGTGAAACTTTCCCTTGAATCACCATGGAAATTGCCACGATTATTACCGCTGGTCTCTGCCATTGCTATTGCTTTTAGTATTACTGGTACAAGTACAAGGACTAGTACTAGTACCCGTAGTAGTAGAAGTAGTAATTAGTCGTCGTCGCAGCTGCCCCAAATCTGTAAGCCATGACAGGAGCTGAAAGTAGTCGTCGTCGTCGTCGCCGTCGAAGTCGAAGTCGAAGTCTAAGTCGTAGTCGTCGTCGTCGCTGCCCCAAATCTCTAAACCATGACAGGAGCTGAAAGTGGCTGGCCCAATCCGCGTCTCGGCCGATGCTGATCATCGAGACTAAGAGGTTTCAGACACCTCGAGATCCCTTCTTGAGGGATCCTTAACATCAGACTCGTATTGTCATAGGGCTCCATATGAAGGGTCCCTCATTTTGTGAAACCTTGAGTGACTTTGTCAGGATTGGTTTGGGGTTTAGGGCTTTCCGAGCCGGAGGCCTCGAAGCATCAGATCCAGGATCCTAAACCCTGCAAACCCTAAACCCAAGCTTGTACTTTGTAGGGGTCGGAATACTTAGGAGTAGTTCATAGGCCCTAGCGTGTGAAGTAGATAACGCTTACTGCACCCTCACATAGTAACCTTTGTAAGCCCGTTGAAGCAGAACCTTTAGCGCAACCCTATTCTACTTAGTCTCACTGTCAAGGCGTCCTAAACCCTAAACCCTAAACCCTAAATGAGAGTTTTCGTGCCAGGATTGAAGGCTGAGGACCTAGCTTAGGGTTTAGGGGTTTAGGGGTTTAGGTTTTAGGGTTTAGTGGTTCAGGAGTTTTGGGTTGAGCGTTCTTGGGGTTTAAGCGACTTGGGGTTCAAGCATCCTGAAACTGAAAGCCTACATCCCATCACAGAACCCCCCCGTGAGATCGTACGCCAGACAAGAGCCTCAAGCCTGAACTGTTGGCCTTAGACCCTGCATCTAGCCCCTATTTCCACTACCCTTAATACCTACCATTAATTAGGGGCGGTCTACCCCTCCTAAACCCTAAACCCTAAACCCTAAACCCCCTATTCAAGATCTTTGAATACGGCGTTTCCACAGATCGAGGCCTGCCGACGAAGATCCTCCGACTGATGGTGCGTAAGTCTCCATGCGGAGAAGGCTTTGGGTTTAGGGCTTAGGGCTTAGGAGTCTAGGGTTTAGGGCTTAGGGTTTAGGCTTTAGGGTTTAGGGCTTAGATGTCTACGTGGGTTCGTTTCGCAAGTCACGACCAGGGTGCATGATTGACACCCTAAACCCTTGATCCTAAAGTACCCGATTATATCCTAGATCCTGGACCTGAAGGGCCGCGGCTACTTATTGACTCTGAGCCTTACACCGAAGATGTTGCGATTCGTTGGGGAAAGCCAGGGCCTCTTGGAATCGAAACAAGGTCCTCGACCTTAAGGACGAAAAGAACCTTAAAAGTAGGGGCCCTATACCGTTATACTATGAATCCCTATATGGCATATGAACCTTAAGCCCTTTTAGGGCTCCTTTCGCCCTTAAGGACAGGCTTGCTGATTAAGGGTTGACATAGGGGTTGCTTGAGGGTTTGGTTCTCAGGGGTTATAGGGTTTCCAGTTAATATACAGGGGCCTAGATGATTCCCTATACTAGGTTGGGGTTTAGGGTTTGGGGTTGTAGTATAACAGGCCCCAAAACCCCATTCTAACTGTTCAGGCCCCTATATGAAGTTGTTTAGGGCGTTGTCGATATGGTGGATCCTCCGGGTCGAGCTGTGACTTTCTGTTGTGCGCGTTGCGGCCCTTACTGTTTGGTTGGTATTGGTTTGCACTTACTATAGGGGCCTAAATAGTTACCTAGATTATTTTGGGTGGCTCCTTATTATAAGTATACTATAATAAGCCCAAAAACCCTATTCTAATTATTAGAGCCTCTACATTGTCTGCTGTTTTCTTGGTTGAAGGGTGGCATCCTCGTGTTCTATACTCTCGTAGTTATCGTCGTTCAGTTGCTTTCAAGCTTTCAAGGCTGAAGCATCAGACTTGATTAATGTAGGGGCCTTAAGAAGTAGAATAGGGTTTTGGGGCCCAATATACTGGACTTCTAGTAAGGAACCCCCAAAATCGTATTGGAATTAGTTAGGCTTCTACAGTTTGCACGATCCACGGGCTTGTTGTATCTGTCATCTGTCTGTCGACTTAAGTATCTTCTCCGTCTCACTCCGATAAAGGGCTCAGTGTCTAAACTTTCCATGATCGCCCTTGGCACTAACACGTCAAAAATTGAAACCCTACGCCCGACAAGCTAGCCCTACACCCTACCTATAGTCTCCATTGTAGTTCGTTTTGTTGGTTTAACCAGTTTTATAGTTAGGGTCCCAAAAGGTAACCCCCAAGAAGGAACTGCAAAGGAGAGCTATAGGTGAACTGTGGACCCTAAACCTTCAGCCCTCAACCCTAAATTCCCGAAATCCGCAGGGGTTCAACCCTCCCCCTGCAGCCTGAGAAACCTATCTTCTTAAGGACTCCTACATCCTACAAGGGGTTTAGTTTAGGGCTTTAGGGTTTAGGGTTTAGAGTTTAGGGTTTAGGGGTTTAGGGGTTTAGGGTTTGGGGGTTTAGGGTTTGGGGGGTTGGAACCCTAAAAAGGCAGGCGTTTGAGGGTTGGGGCAAAGCCGGAAACCGTAGACTACCAGGCACGAACACCTTTGACCGATGGGAGATGCGAATCCACAAGCGCCTTATCGACTTGCACTCGCCCTCTGACGCCTGCAGCTCAAGGGGGGGAATCGGGTCTCAAGATGCTGGAAAAACTGGTAGCAGTCCTTTGTCTTCCTTACACTGTCGTAGTATGAAAGGCCTCAAAACCTGTTGCAACCTTGTCTACTTGTTCAGGTCCTTCCACAATTAGAGTTATTTGGGACTTGGTTCTTGCTGGTATGAAATGGCCTCTTCAGGGATCTGCATGGGATCATGGGGGAAAAAGGACTCGACGAAGGCTCCCAGGAAGCCATCAGCTCAGGTCTGTTGAGCCTTCAGGCTGTAAGATCCCAAGGGCTTTTCAATGGTGTAGACCTTTCTGTTGGTGACCAGACTTTTTTCGGTTGGGGGGGTTTAGGAGAGCATCCGCAGCCCGAGGTCGTGAAGCAGATCACGTCGATCTCTATTGAGTGGGGGGCCTAGGATTTGAGCTCGGTTTCTATTTCAAGGGTTTAGGGTTTAGGGTTAACCCTAAACCCTAAACCCTAAGCCCGGAACCCTAAACCCTAAACCCTAAGCCCGGAACTGGGACTCAAGCAGAACCCAGGGCGTTTGATGGTATCGCGACGACAGAGCTCCCGACTTGATCGAACCGGTGGTTGTTGGTCTGTTGGCTCTTCTTAGGGGTTTAGGGTTTAGGGTTTAGGGTTTGGGG